ATAGATAGATAGATAGATAGATAGATAGATAGATAGATAGATAGATAATAGATGGATGGATAGGTAGGTAGGTAGATAGATAGATAGATAGATAGATAGATAGATAGATAGATAAGATTATAGGAAAGGAAAACAGAAAGGAGAAAAGAAAAGAGAAGAAAAGAAAAGGAAGGTACTTGCCAGCACCTGTCAGGTGACACTGAAGGACAGAAGTAAGAAGTAAAAAAGGGCAGTGGCTACTAGCCCCTGCTCTCCCTAAAACACCCGCCTCAGAAACCAGTGCTGAAGTACCCTGTACGGTGGCCCCATCCCACATCCAAAGTCATGCTAAGGTCCACACACGCCTCCGTTTAAACTCCACAGACTGAAAGCATTGCAGAGGCAAAGGGGAAATGCGTTGCCCTGCATCAGAGTCCCTGGCATCCATGTGCTTAATCTCCAATGTTTTCAATTAAATCATGAGGAAATAATTATGCAAGCTGTAATTTCACCATTCACGGGGAAATGATCAGTGTTTTATCCTTGAGGGGTTTGTACCATAGCATCTAAAAGCCTTAGATAAGGAACTAATTAATTTTGGTTCCCTCCAGCTTAGATTTCTTACTCTGGGGTAATATATACAAAATACGGAAAACATGCACAGTCTCTAGGTCAAGAATCTCACTGTGCTTATTAATGAGCAGGAAGATGGCTTTCATATTACTTCACTTCTTACATCACTAGCATTCTTTCTCGCATGCTAATCTCTTTTATTACTAGCGATAACACGACGTGAGAAAAGGGTCTAAAAACAAAGCTATATTCAAGGCAAAGTGTGCCTTGGGAAGAGTATCAGTTTTGTATGTTCATCGCCAAACTTACAACACTTCAAATCAAAGAATTTTATAGCCGAGTGTAATCATTTCAAGGACCCTCACTGATCTGAGTGTCTTCAGTAGCAGCGCAAGGATCACAGGGACGAACACTCTTCCATCCATCCCTCCGTCCTCCTCCGAAGACTTTCATTGTCTCTAAATTTTAACTCTCTATCTTCGAGTCTCTTTTCCTCTCCGTGGCTTTACCTTCTCCCCTCTGTTTTTCTCGTTTATAAATCTGCCACTGACCCTTGATCATGCCTCCCTCTCAAGCTTCCTCCTCCCCGTCGACACTTCATAGCCAAAACTTTCGAAACAGTATCTCCCTCACCAACCCCTCTTCCTTCCTTCCCTTTATTCCTCAGCCCACTGCCATCTGGAGCCCATGGCTGCCACTCCAGTGAGCTCTTCTTTTGGAAGTCACCCAAGATCTCAGCCCTGGAAAAAACAAAGAACCTTGTCCTTTTGAGGACATATTTGCTAACTCTTATTTCTTGGCACTGAGGTACAATCCATTTGATGTGTCTTTCCTGCTCAGACTCCATAGCTGGCACTTTGAATTTATGAGCCGTGGGCATTACAGCCACAATCACTCAGTTAGCTATCTAAAGAGGCACGAAAGAAAGGCACGGGTATCCGAACCTACCCACATCCTGCAGCCATGCTCCCAATGCCGAAATCACATATTCTCTTCTTTTATTCATTCAGTTCCCATTTGTCAAACAGAAATAATGTACCAAGTAATGTGCTTGGCACGCTGAGGACAGCAACAGGAGAGAGGAAAGTCCAGAGGCTGTCTGCCTCTGTCCTGCCTCGAGTCTCCCAGCTCCAGTTTCTCCTTCTCTTGGGAGGACGGAACAGATCGCATGGCTCCACCTGCGATTCTTTTGGAGACATTCCCGTGAACATGGCATATAACTGATCACAATCTATTTTCTTTAAAATTTTCTTTTTATTTCAATTATGTATATGTGTGTGTGAGAGTACACATGAATATTGGTGCCCATGGAAGCCAGAAGAGAAGGTCATACCCCTGGAGCTGAAATTACATGTGATTGTGAGCTACAGAACATGAATGCTAGGACTTGAACTCAGGTCCTCTTCAAGATTAGTATAGGCTTTTAAGCACTGAGCCACCAACCCGGCCCCTTAGTCTGCCTGTCTAACCAAAGCCGTTGCCGTTGTCTCAAGTGAGCATCACGGAACAATCGTGATTTTTCAGAATGTACACTCTCACGCCTCCTTGTGTGTACACACACTGTCGCCACCCACCCCAGCATCCTTCACCTACCTTCTGTGTATAGTAACATTTTCTGCTTCTTTCAAACACTAAGTGGAATGTCGATCTCTCGCAGAATATCTCCCGCACACCCCTGCATCCTGTCCCACGGCTCATCAACCTGTGACAGCTCCTACCACCGCTGTATATTGAATTGGTTGAGCTGGTCTTTTTTTTTTCCTGCCAGCCTTCCTATGAGATGACCTCTAAGAACAAACCAATGTGATATTTAACTCTGTGCATGCTGATCCCTGCAGAAGCTCTGATACAATCATTTGTTGAATTGATGACTACATTTTCATTGGGACCATGAACACTTGCTACAGTGTGTCCTCAGCAACACTGACGGATTTCTGGGTTGATGTCTTCTCTACCTCTTGCCACTTTTCCAGTCTATTTATGGACCTCAAATGGAAAAGAAAAAAAAACCTGACCTCTTTTTTTCATCCCTCAGGCTCCTCTTTATTAAGTTGAAACTGAAAATACGAAGTCACAGAAAGACTTTTTGTCCAGACTCCTCCTCCGGTGCATTTAAATAAAGAGGCCAGATTTCTTTTCATGAAATTTGATTCATTCCTACATCACGGGATAAAGATTAACTTTAGGGCAACAATATACACAAGCAGAGGTAATTCAATAACTAATGAGATGTTACGTAACCGTTTAATGGGCTATTCTTCATTTAGAAGGCACAACCTCTGTGTTCTGCGATGTTGAACTTCCTTTCACTCTTCCCAAGCATGTCATTGTACAGTGATTTCTCACAGCGCTCTTTGAAAACCATGCCTTCCGCTCGCCCTATTCCTGTCATTTGAAAAGAGCCACGCCCACCCACACCAGCCTTCATTGAGACTGAGTTAAAGTCGACACAAAGAAATATAGGGCATCCCTTTGTTTCCTGGATACTTAGAGGCTCCTGCTGCTTGCCTGCCCCACTTGGTTTTTGAGACTCCTTCCTGCTCTCATGTTTGGGCCTGTGTTAGGTTCCTCTGGTCTCCTGGTAATGTGGAGGACTCACCAGCAGCCGACCTGAGTGTTCCCCTGGGATGGATATTCAGAGCTTCCTCTTGCTGCTCACCCAGTGCCCGCTGGCCACCAGTGTCCTGTTTGAGAGAAACATCTGAGGACATAGCCTCAAGAAGCCCAGGTCTAGAACGCTGCCCCGCATTTTGGGTGTAATTGGCCCCTCACGTGTTTCAAATTCTCCATCAGCCTTTTTCTCATCAAGTCTTTGCCTCATAACAGTCTGCACGGTGTGCCTCGCCTATTCTAACAGTTACCTCCAGGGGAAATACACTTTCCCCATACGAAGTAGTCGGTGGGATGTGGGAGCCCCCAGTGCCCACTCTTCTTCCAGCACATTGGACCACAGGTTTCCTCCTTTAAAATCCCTGCGCCAGCAGAGGTTCTGCCATCTGACTGTGCATTGCCTTGCTGTCAACAGTGCCCCTCCAAATTTCCTGCCCACCTCCTCGGCTTCATGAAAGATGTTAGACACCTGGATCAATAACCACTGTTATAGTTGCAGCGAAGCACTTACCTACTCTCCACAAAGCCCTGCACTCCATCCCTCACAGTACCACTCCTCCAAAACCGCTTCTCCCCAAACCATTTCTCTGTTAAATTTATAACTCAAACTCTCTGCCTGACCCAACTTGTTCCTTCCAGTTTACCTGCCAACTATCCTTGTTCTTAAATTCTTTGGGATCTCTGATTCAAGGACCCACACACTTCTGCATGCATGCATGTCTGCTGGGTCCCCAGCACCACCACCACTCTGATTCACGGACCACACTTTATACTTCCTCTCCGGAGTTCCAATGTCCTTTCTTCTCCAGCAGTGAAACCCTGGGTAAGCCCAGCATATGCTCTTTGTGCAGAAAATCTTCCTTACCATTCCCCCCATCTTCTCCCCGGTGGCCTCCGGGGAGGCCAGGGAGGCCATGGGATGTAAGGCCAGGGTTGCTTTTTGTCTTCACCTGGAGGGAACACTGCTTCACTTGTTAGCTGCTCCCTCTTCACCTAACTGCTTCTCCCTCCCGTCTCTCACCTCCCTCTAGAGACCAGTCTTCACCTTTACCCCTTACCTCTACTCATTCCTTAGGTTATGATGTCATGGCTTTCAACAGCATCCAGATACTCATGACTTCCAAGCCGTGCGTTTAGAATTTCACAACTGCCTACCTGCAATTTTGACCTGAATATCTAATGATTTTCACTGGTTCCTTCTTCTTTTTCTTTTTAATCCCTAACGCAGTGGCTCTGGACTTGATTGCATAAGAACAATCTGGAGGAGGCTGGCATGAAGGAGAAGGAGGAGAATAAAGAAGAAAAAGGAGGAGGAGGAGGAGGAGGAGGAGGAGGAGGAAGAAGAAGAGGACAAGAAGGAGAAGATCTAGCTGTGTAGCTCAGGTTGAGGTTGGTTTCAATATTCCTATTTCAGGCTCAAATTTTCCTATCTCCAAAAACCAATTCTCCAGCTCTCTGCTTTAGCTTTCTTGCTATTCATACTGCCTCTCCGCCTGCATAGGCAACTTTATCATTCTTTCTTGGGCCCAAAGCCCAAAGTCATCCTTAACTCAACAATTTCTCATCTGCTGTCTAACCAGTCTGCTCTGCCTAGAAGAACTGTGGAGAGCACTGAGCTCCATCTACAGTTGTTTGATCCAAACAACTCAGGCGTACACACAACAGTCAGAGTGCATGCTGTTTGCAGGGGTCCTCACCCTGGACTAAACACTGTAATTGCCTGTGAGGTCCCAGCCTGTGTCCCACCCCCGGAAGCTGTTGTTCAGGCTCTAGGACATGAGTGGAGAGTTTTAAAAGCCTCCTGCCTCCAGCTGGGTGTGAGGTCACTTGCCAGTAATCATGGAACTTTGGAAATGGGGTGCTGAAAGAGGAGGATTGAGCATCTGATTGAGTGTTGGTGTTTGAGCCTAGTGCTGGACTGGGTGTTTGATTGAGCATCCCACCAGCCTAGTGCTGGACTGGGTGTTTGACTGAGCACCCCTCCCCCAGTCTAGGCTACTTAGCTAGACACCATCACTGCCATGCTGCCATTGTTTTTTGGTCGCTATTCGGGTTTCCCAGCAGAGAGGGTGGCATGGTGGTCTACTTCACTTCTGGTTGTTTTTTTTTTTTAACGTAGAATAATTTTTTAAAAAATGAAAAATAATTAGTATTAATAAACATGTAAATGCTGAGCAGATTCGGGTATCATAGACAAGGACAATATCCCAAGCATTAAAATAAATAATAATTAAACCTGGGATGCTATGTAAATATGTCCTAGCCTCTTTCTTTCAACACTTTGGTCTTGCAGTCTTTCATTTCTCAGTTTGATTAGAATCTTTTATGACTTCTAAATGTCGATGATTTTGCTAAGAATATCTTCCCACCACAGATCACCTGTTCTCAATTCTTGCTTTTCTGTGGATTTCCATTTCAATCACAGATTTTATTTTTCTGTGAATTTGGAGGAAATGGGCTGAAAAGAAATGAAACTGAAAACATGGCCACCACTGGCAGGGTTGACAGAGTTTAACAATTGAACAAGGCCAGTTTTATCACCTTGACTCTCTTTCTGAATTTCCTAGCATTTTCTTCTCCTCCAGAGGCATTCGGGCTCAGGCATTTTTATGGGGAGGTCGCTTTAAAAGCTGTAATGGTTACTTAATAGACAGTGGAAAGAGACATTCGGGAGAGGGGCTGACACTTTTCATTCTAGCACTTGGAAGGCTGAGACAGGAGGATGGAGATCTCAAGGCCAGCCTGATCTCTGTCGTGGAACCCTGCCTCAGAGAGAGAGAGAGAGAGAGAGAGAGAGAGAGAGAGAGAGAGAGAGAACAAAAAGAAAAGGGGAAACTGGTACTGGGTGTGTAGCAGTGGTAGAGGGCTTGCTCCATGCATAAGGATCTAGGTCTAAGCCCCAGTCCTTAAAAATAAAAGTCAAAAACGGCAGGGGAGTAAGAGCGAGATGGATGTGAGGCATCTACACCCTCCTCCATTCCTGTCTGCGGAAGGGAGTTGGGGAAGAGACCATAGGTGCTCAACCTGGCGAGTGCCACATACATCAGCACACATATCATCATGTCAGAACCTGATGTTTCTCTTCCACGTCCTAATTTCTATGGTTTTCCCCCCTCATCAAAACTTCTATGTGGTGGTGGCTCAGAAATTTATTGGGCGTTTGTTTGTTTGTTGTTGTTGCTTGTTGTCACTGTCTCATCTTGAGACGGGTCTCATATATCACAGGTGGCCTCAAACTTGCTGTGTAGCCAAAAATGACCTTGAATTCTTGATCCCTCTCTCTCCAGTTCTCACGCGCCGGGTTTACAGCCCTATCCTTCCACACCTAGCTACCAGAATTTCTATTTCTACTTGTTTCTTGAGGCAAAAGGAAATCTAGGCTAATCCCGTGAAGCAGTATGAGTTGTGTGGCTTTTCCTACTGAAGTCTTCCGCATCTATAAACGAAAAACTTCTTTAATATTTCTCGGGTTGGGGAGCATGAGCGTATGGGTGTCCTTGTGTGTGCTTGCGCATGCGTGTGGAAGCCAGAAATTAACACTGGGCATCTTCCTCAATCTCTCTTAGTTTGTGAGGTGGGGTCTCTGAACCTGGAGCTCAAGGATTCAGCTGAACGGGCTGGTCAGCAAGCCCCAGCGTCCTGCCGGTCTCTGGCACTGGGGTTACAGATGCACGAAGCTGCACCGGAGTGCTGGGGACCTGAACTCGGGTTTCAGGCTTGCACAGTAGGTGTTTTGCCGACTGAACCATCTCCCAGACCTCCGATTTTTATTTCTTTTAAAACATATCAACCAGAGCACTCCACAAAAATCAGTGAAGACAACACCCATAAGGGTGAAAAAAAAAAAGGATCTGAGAAAAGTAAGTTTGGGGACCATTTTGTTAATTGCTTATATATTTTATTTTTATGACCCTGTTTGTGTCATAAGCTTGAGTTACAACGGCACTTCTCAAATCAAAATCAGAAAAAATATTTACCCACATGAATATTCCCGGAAATATTTTCCACAGCTGTGAACATGTACCTACGGCTCGCTACATCAACAGCCTTGTTTGTGCTTTCAAACGTGTCTAATTTCACTTTTAAAATACAGCATTTTTCTGGTTTTGGGAAAATGTCTTTAAAAGCAGGAACAAGCCCTTCATTTCAGTGGAGCACATGAAAGGCTTCTCTGTCGCCTCCTCTCCTGGAGTGGTAACAGGCTGACCCTAATTTCGGTCCTCTAAATAGGGTAACGGTGGTTTGAGCAGGAAGTCTAAATCTGGCCTCGGAGGTAGCCCAGTGATTTTCCAGGTCAAGGCAAAGGAAGAAAGCAAAGTTGGGAGGCTTTGTAGTCCTCTCCCAGGTACCACCAGGCTCCGGCGCTCGCTGGGAGACGTCTGCCACCTAGTGGAACATAGAAGCCACTGACGCTGCTTGTAACCCTTAACCGTGTGGAAAAACCACATTGGACCCCATAAACATGTACAGTGTGTTATTTTAAAATAACAAGTTGAAAAGGTAAGCGTTTCTGCAGACAGATATAGCAAATTTTCACGGTCCAAAGCTTCTGTTAGTGCCGGATAGATTAATACAATAAATAGTACACTACCAGATGGTGGTGACATGCAATAAGCCAAGAAATAACATGTTCCTCTCTCCTCATGGAAACTGCGCGCTACCACCACGTACAAGAAGTCGCCTCGTAAAACAGTGTCGTGTAAAGTGGAGTGTTTTTATTTAACGACCCCTCTCATTTTGACAGCAACCTGTATATCCTGGGGTTTTTTTTTTTCCTCTACAGTGAGTGGGAAGTATTCTTAGCCTGTGTCTCCATGATGAAGTCACACAGCACATTGTAAACGCCCCTGCAAAGAGCATCTTCTAACTTGTTACATCCCTGTAACAACTCATTCACAGTCTTTTGGAAATAAGGGATGGAGCCGTGTGAAACTGAGGCGGTCAGAGCTAGAGCCCAGGCTGAGCCACCTGACTCTCCCCCCTTTCTTCTCTTCGGTCTTTTGTCACATTTCTTCTGGGTTACACTAACTAATTGCTATTAAAGAGTTACAGGCACCGTATATATTTGATAGCGTAGCTCAGACCCTCCCCTTCACAGCTCTAAGCTTACTTTCTAGTTGTGGCTCTAATAGATGGGTTGTCGACAGGGGTGCCGTTTCCCTCTCTTGGCTTCTTCTACCTGGAAACCGGCTATTGAAAGCTGTCTGCTGTGAAACCACACTGTCACACACCAGTGACACTTGGGGAGCTGGACATTCAGAGGATAAAATCTGTAAGTCACCACCCCTTCTGGGTACAGAGCTTCAAGCCACCTGGCACCAGAAACTGCACCCCAAGGCACAGAGTACCAAGTTAGAGACAGCTTGAGATTTAGCCTCTCTGTACATCCCCTTCATCTCATCTGCAGCCATGAGTTAGCATTTCCTTCCCTGTGGTGCTTAAATGTGGAAACAGATGCCATTTTCAGTGAAAGGCTTTTCTGTCTTTGGGAACACCCACATTGCCTGTAGAGTAGACTCCAGGGGTCCTAGAGAAGTGGGCAGAGTTCTCTCTGTATCACAGAGGGAAAGGGTGAGCCCAATGGTTGGAAAGGAGATAGATTGCCAGGTTCCAGCCCTATGTCTTCCCAGTTAAGTCCATTCCAAGCATGGCACAGTGGCTGGAATCAGATCCATGAAGACTGGTACTAACGACCTCATGGCATTGACTGATATGGTCACTGACTCAGAGGGGCCAAGAGTCCCACATCACTGCCTGGTCGTTATGTGATGGCGGGGGGGATCTGATAGATATCAATAGCTTGCATGACAATGTCACACACAAACATTCATGTGGGCATCTGCTTCAAGATGACAGACAGACTGGGAGCTGCATGTCTTCAGGGGACACTTACAGTTGGTAGGATTCAAACTCATCTGCCCTGAGCCACAGCTGTGCCTGCTTTGTAAAGACTATGTAAAGAGATTAGTATAAACTCACTGGAAGACATGGATGTCGAGGGGGAGTGCCTGGTGTCTGTGACAGGCTTGGTTTGAAGGGTACTTCAGAATGCATCAAAATTCCTGAACAATTCCACCCCAACCACACAAACCACTTGTTCATTGTTGTTTTTGTGGAAGTCGCTTCAAAGCAGGACAATATCAAATGTAGAATAAACAAATGAAAAGGTTATTTCCAATATTGCAAACTATAGTTGGTTATTTTTTTTACTCTTTGGGAGCCTGCCACCCAGCTCCCAAATAACACGGAGACTCATTCTTACTAATGAATGCCTGGCCTTAGCTTGGTTTGTTTCTAACCAGCTTTTCTAACTTTAATTATCCTGTTTCTCTTTAGCTGTATCTTGCCTCTGGTCTTCTTATCTTTCTTTATTCTATATATCTTTCTTCCCTCCTTACTCTGTGGCTGGCTGTGTTGCTGGATAGCTGGCCCCTGGCATCCTCCTCTTCCCCTTTTCTCACTCCTCCCCCTTTTTGTTCTTCGTTTTTGGAGCCTAGATTTCTCCTCCTATTTATCCCTCTGCCTGGAAGCCCTGCCTAGTTCTCTCTCCTGCCTAACTATTGGCTGTTCAGTTCTTTATTAGACCAATCAGGACTTTTAGATGGGCAATGTAACACAGCTTTACAGAGTTAAACAAATGCAACAAAAGAATGAAAGACATCTTTGCATCATTAAACAAATGTCCCACAGTGTAAAAGAATGTAACCCATCTTAAAGTAACATTCCATAACAGTAAAGTTTGTGTGAAGAAAAACAAAGTGAGGGCGAATACAAAGCGGTTGGTGCGGACAACCATATGGCACCATGAGCATTCTTTTTTTAAAAAAAAAATATTTTTTATGGTTTATTTAACTTTATTTTTTTTATGTGCATTGGTGTGAAGGTGTCAGATCCCCTGCAACTGGATCTTCAGACAGTTGTGAGCTGCTATGTGGGTACTGAGAATTTAACCTGGGTCCTCTGGAAGAGCAGTCAGTGCTCTTAACTACTGAGCCATCTCTCCAGCCCCCACCATGAGCATTCTAAATGTGAAAGTCTCTGTGACACATAGGGGGATGTAGATTTTAATGTCTCTAAAGTAACTCTCTTTTAAAAAATGACCTTCCTCCTGGAGATGGAGAGGCTACCCAGGGAATGGGCTGGCAGCAGTGTAGGGGCAAGGGGACTATCCTACCTGCAACAGAAATGTTTGTCTGAAACAGGCCTTCACCCACTGTTTCCAAAGACGAATGAAACCCCAGCGTAAAGACATCTGGATCTTGTTTAGGGAATATCACCAAGGAACTGCAAAACTAGGAAGCAGGAAAGGAGAAGCGAATAGCTAAGAGCCCTTCTGTGTCTGTGTCTTCCATGACTGCCTTCCAATGGGCTCACTTCCCACAGCCCTGTGCATTGGCCTCGCCTCCTTCATATCCCTTCCTGTGGCCACTACCCCTGCCTGTATGCTCCATTCAACATTAGCAAGACTTGTGCCCATCCATCTCTAAGCTCATTTCATTTTTATGAGTCAGATTCTAAACTTATATCTAATTTCCATTAGAAAATTTCTTAATTACTTGTTCACAAACTCGCTGGTGTTGTGTTTCACACAGTTTGAAGATAAAAACACTCCCCACCAAGAGGCACCATGCTAATCCTGCAACCTTGGAGTCTTCTTGGTACTGGAAACCCCTTGGGCCTTAACCCCCACTCATAAATGTAGACTGGGTACCATGTGAAGCATGGCTTGTGCCCAAATGTGTGCTTCCATAGCTGCTAGGGAAGGCAACAGATTAGAAAGTCTACAGAGCCAGGTACGGAAAGCGTTGTTTGAACCACTGTCAATGGTATGACAATAAAGAAATGTATTATTCATCAATTCTTCCCAAAATGAGTGTCCTTAGTTCTGTCAACTGTCTACTAGATGGGAGTCTCTATTGAAGGATTGCTCAGATCAGACTGGCCTGTGGGCGTGTCTGTGGGAGTGTCCGTGGGTGTGTCCATGAGCGATTGTCTTCACTATTGGTTGTAGGAAGGAACAGCCTATACTATATGGTATGGTTGTCCTGCCCTGACTTCTCTCCTGTAAGGGGAAATAACCCTTTCCTCCCTTCATTGCTTTGATTCCGAGTGTTCTGTCCATGAAATAGAGAAGAAACTAGGACGACTAGGAAACAAGCCGTTTTACAAACAGACAGATACCTTTAATACAAATGAGCAGTAACTATGTAGCGAAGTCAGAAATAAGCTGTCTTCAGTGAGAGGCTTTTCTCCCAAGAGATACAAGATGCACAGGTAAACCAGTGACATTTTACACGTGTTCGGGGCGGGGCACTTTAATTTCATAGCGAGTGGTGAGTGTTTTCGTCGTTTGCATCAGCTTGAAATTCCAAAGACATTAACAGAATTATTCATTTCCATAATCGTTATGAGTTAAAAAGGAATGACTCCTGTCCCATAATATTGTCGTTCTATGTATTATTCCAAAGTACAACATCCCTGAAGATAAAGGAGAGCGTCCTCCTCTCCTCACCTAGTATAAAAATGCTGAGACTACAGCAGGTGTTGGCAATACAAACCAAACTGCACTGTAGAATAAGTTTCATAAACACAAATCCATCTTTTCTCTTTGGTTCAAAAAACACAAGAGGTAGGTTAAAGTCAAAGAGTCCCATTTCACTGGTTTTTTCAGAAAGCAATTATAACAGAAATGATCAGAAACCAAGTGAGTCTATGGACTACATCTTAAAATGTAAGAACATGCGATTTTTTTGAGGCAGGGTTTCTCTGGGTAGCCATGGCTGTCCTGGAACTCACTCTATAGACCAGTCTGGCCTTGAACTCAGAGATCCACCCACCTCTGGTGTGCACCACCACTGCCCAGCTAAAAATATCAAATATCTTCTTACATAAGAAATAACATTTTTCTAAGCTCTAATAAAACAAATTCTAAGAGAGAATTGACTACGAAATCAACTTTAGTGGAAGTTGTGAGTGCTGTGATATTACAAACTTCCTGGCCTCATCCTGAACCTTGAGGCAAGTGAAAAGGCGGATGGGCATGTATGCTTACAGACTGCGCCTCTCATTCACAGACAGAAGATGGACGTATAGTACTGTTGGAACGTGCTGGTGTCTTAGCCTCGCTCCACCCCTTCTGGGAAGCACAGGTTCCACAGACTTCAATAAGAGTGGGACAAAGGTGTCATTTACCTGAAATCAACACTCAAGTCACAAAAAGAACAATTTCAGATTTCTATGAAGGTCCCAGGGAGCCTTCCTGATTTAGAGAATTTGATCCAAAGAGTGGGAACAAAAAGGAACAAAAGCAAGACACTCTCTGGAAAATGGTACAAGTCAACAGTTTTGTTCACTGATGTTTTAGAAAGCAATGGGGGAGCACATAGGGTCCACCAAATAACTTGTATCAGTAATTTAACAACAGATGGCAATCAATGTCTAAAACTGGGGACCAAATAGCAATGCAAACAGAACAGAAAGAGTGTCCGCTGAAATAAATATTATCACACTGCCCCTCCATACACAAATTTGGCTACTATAATTCATTCTTATTCTGCTTACAAATGAGGATATAAACTGTGCAAGATTGATTTTAAATACGGTGAATTTTTTCCTACTAACATTCCTGTAGGGGAATTTTACATCAATAAAGACTTTCAAAATATATAGAACAATTTAAGTCCCAAGGCTTTCTGATCACTTTGTTTTTTTAAAAAAAAAATTGGCATAAACAAATTGACATAAACCTGAACCAATTAGAACAAAGATTAGTGATTTATAATTCTACCACGCAAAACGATTTCATCTTCAGCAGGTACATTTTCAGATTTAGGGAGCAAGGCACGGATCTTTATCAGCAAATATAAAGTACAATTTTGTGGCTTCTTCAACACTTATTGAAACTATGATTTTGAGCATTACTGAAGATATAAAACCGAGCCCAAATGCTTGAAGTGACTGCAGATTCCTTTCCCTTTGGCTGGGGGCACAACAGCTTCTTTCGCAACAGACTCGCTGCAATCCCAGGAGTCGCCAGAGCGCGCTGACAGCTTTGGTCACCAGGAAAAGAAGACTTGAGCATGTCACTTCTGAGCTACTCCTAGTGTCTGCTTCATATTTTCATATACCACATAGCTGATGCCAACGGCGGGGAGCACCTTCATGAAGTTTGGGGTGATGCCTCTGTAGAGTCCTGACACTCCTTCTTTGGTGAGGATTCGCTGAAAAAGGCCAACCATGTTCAGCTGCGGGGCCCCTTCTACCATGGCTAGAAGACAGACAGGCACACCAACAAAAAAAGATAAGGAAAAGGCGGGAACCAGGCTAATCCAATATTCAAGCATGCCTCATTATTATCACAACAGACAACTGGGGAATCAGAATGGTGTCTAGAATACAATGGACGGATAAAAATCAGTTTCGAAAACAGCCTTCCTGGTGCAGCACCCACCAGTGAGGTACAATGGCACAGCTCTTCAGGAACTGCTGTGCTAGGTACTAGGTTAATTACTTGTCATGCTAACCCTTCAGGATAAAAATATACATTTCATAACTGAGATTAGAACGTTGGAAAGATGGTGAGCCTTGTCCTGAAACCCTAGTTAGCTGGTAGCAAAACCAAAAAGCTGTGGCTGATGCGCGAGCCCGACACTTTTAATTAAAACCACATCATTCTATCACAGCACCCTCCCCAAGCGCTGGCTAGAATGCTTACATTTTAGATAACAGGGGAAGGGAGGAGTTGGAGAAGCTTAGAAAGAGAAAAGGAGACCTGGGCCTTGTGATTATCTCATGAGGGGGAGAGATGAAGAAAAAAGGAGGAGAAAGAGAGGGGGTGGAGGAGGAAGAGGGAGAGGAGGCAGCCCTGTATTGCTGGTTCAACAAAGGGCAAAAGCAGGGATGGGCATGCGGGGAGGACTACAGTGGTTTTTAGATGTGATGATTACCCATAGGGTACTAAGGGGCTGGAGATGCCCACATTGTTGAGTAGCTATTTCCTTCAAATTGAAGCATTCCATTTGGAACCTAGATGATTCCTAAGACTCAGGAAGTAAACAAGACCTGCCCAGCTCAGTCAGCTTCTGAAACTAGAATTCCCAGAAGCCCCCCCCTCCCCAACGTTAAATGAGCAGTTATAGCTACTACGGACAAGAGGATCCAGCACAGGTTTCTTGCAGGTTATCCACGGAGCTCCGGGGATTTGGCTTCTGTGAGTGATATGCGTGCACAGGTCGCAGGGGTAGGGTGGGGCATTGGTTGCATGGGTGGGGTGGGGTGTTGGTGGTGCAGCTGCCTTTGTGCCACTCAAGCCCCTATGTGTAGCCATCACCCACACTCCAGTCAGAACCCCAGCAAACTCACTGACGCATGACGCTAGCCATGGGTGGGCCTGTTTCTTTGGTCTGTCCTTGCTCTATCTGGGTGAACAGACAGATGTCAGCTCACTCCCGCCTCCACAGGGAAAGGCACACAGCTGCATAGTGAGGGTAGGGAACAGAGATGGAGCTAAAACTGAGGCAGGATACGATTGCTAAAGACCTCGGAATTCCTGCTGAGAACTTGGGAATTGACACTGGAAAATCTGAAGTTACAAAAATGTCTGAAGAGATAAGAAATGAATGAGCCTTGATGGAAAATGGCAGATCTTGGCAGCTGTGCTGGTCAGGACTGGAGCTGAGAGGGAGGGAGGCTCACCGCACAGCAGGGTAAACCCCTGAGTGGCTCTGGACTCCAGCTCCACTGCCTGTCACATGCATAACCATACGGACATTCCTTAAATGGTTTTGCCTGCTAGTCATTTGTCAAATGTGGATGATGTTAGTATCAAGCTCCCAAAATGGTCGTGGTGGCTCAATGAGAGTCTGTGCACACTTAGTTTGATATTTTGCATTCCTCTCTGCAGCCAGGATTGCCCCTCAGTCCCTCTGCGGGCCTGTTCGCAGCTAGCTCCCACTGCACTCCTGGGCTTCATCTGGACTTCGGCTAGACCCCATGCCATAAGGTGCTCTAAAGGGCCATCTTCTGGTGGGATCCACATGTTTTCCACTCTACAGAGACCTGATTCACACCTGACATGTTGCAGTCTCTAACCCTAGCACCCATCTGACGGTGTGCCTGGTCCCAGTGATGGCCCGAACAACATGCTGACAAGTGACCGGCTGTTTGGTTGAAGGAGCGGTTGGGAATGGAACCACAGCTGCCCAGTACTCATAAGAGAAAGTACAGTCGATGAAGGTGACCAGGGAAAAAGAAGAACAAAAAAGAAAGACAAAGAGTGCTGCATGCTTTCAAAGAGTAGGTAGCAATAAATGCCAGCAAGCAGCAAGAAGACAGTAGTCACTGAGTGACTGGAGGGTCAGGCTAGTGCAGCTGGGAGCCCGCGGAGAGAGAGCCACAGAGAGAAAGCTCATCACCAAGCCTAGGGTCTGAACAGCACTCAGAGAGTCTAGGAAACACTTACATTGAGAGTTTAGCAAATGCCAGATCTTTTACACATACTCCTGCTAACTCTTTTCATCCCTATTCAAGGAAGACAAAATGAGGAGAGAGAGAGAGAGAGAGAGAGGACAAAGACCTCCCTAAATCTAAATCTGCTAGATGTCAAAGTTTATGCTCTTAAAATATGGATTATTTCTGTAAAGCAGGAGCAGTAACAGACACACAAAGGAAGAGGGGGAAAGGGGAAGGGAGAGAGAGAGAGAGAGAGAGAGAGAGAGAGAGAGATCTGAGCGTGTGAGTGACATGAAATGCTATCACAGCCGTCCTGGAACCCAGACTCACCTTGTGCCTGCATGCGAGTCCTCACCAAAGCCAGGGGGTAACTGGCCAGCTGCCCGCAGGTGCTGGACAGAGCCCCACAGCCCAGCAGTACCACGACACCAGGGTTGACAGAGTCTTTGGCAAAGTTATCCAGCCAATAAGTCTTCAAAAGCTGCCCCCCCCAAAACAAAGAAAACAATCAACAAAGGAGGCACTCAGCCATCGCTCACTCAACATTATCATCTTCAGGGCTGTTTTGTGTAGTCAACTCTCAAAATAAAATAGTTTAAGCATAATGTATGTACATAAAAATCCTGTGTTCCTAGTTGTGCTGGTTTGAATGGGATGCCCCTGTGGTGGTTTGAATAGGGATGGCCCCCATAGACTTGTGTGTTAGGATGCTTGACCCCTAGAGAGTGGCACTATTGGGAGGTGTGGCCTTGAGCTGGAAGAAGTGTGTCACTGTTGGCGGTGGGCTTGGAGATCTCAGAAGCTCGTTAGTCTCCTTCTCTGCCTGTGTATCAAACGTAGAACTCTCAGCTCCTTCTCTAGCACTGTGTCTGCCTCACCAAACCTTTGGGGTCTTAAAGGTCCCAAGTCCTCCTTTCAACCCAGGATCTAATGCAATGGCTTGAATATGGTGTGTGTTCAGTACATGTTTGTCAGATTCCTAAGATATTAAGTGACCCATGTGGCAGGGATGACCAAGTTTGTTGACCTGAGTAACAGGTGGTTCATATTCATTTATTGCCTGAGCTGTCTGAGTTGTCTTGACCTCAGGTCTCCACAGGCAAGCGAGCTTCACTTTTTAGACTGAGCTGTCTTCCCCGGCCCCTACCTCCAGCCCTAGGGGCTGTTAAATGACAAGGGACAAAGCTGTGGAATCCACATCCCTCCCCTGGCTTTATCAGTGCCAGGTGGTAGTAATTCTAATAAATTTCTGCTTATTTTTCTCCGTGCCTCCCCATCCCTTGGGCCATCTTCTAAGCTGCATTTGAGCGCAGACTCTTCGTGAACAAAAGTAAATATGCAAGCAAATCTAATACAATAAAAAAAAGGCTCAACACATTTGTGACCTCACAACTGAGGTGCTGGAAAGATGGATGAACACCCCTGTGGGCAGTCCGGTCATAAACAGTCCCGCTGGCCACTGGCCAGCCACCTTGCAGACTACCTGCCCTGCAGCCTGAAGCATGCTATGCCTTCACTCACCTCATACACAGCGAGATCGATGCCTGCATAAGGAATGATGCCCAGTAAGTTGGGCACATAGCCTTTGTAGAAAGCCCCAAAGCCTTCCTGTTTCAAAATCTTCTTGGCACATCCATATATTCCAGAGTATTGTCCGGTTTTGGCTACCGCTAGTCGGGTTTTCAGAACCTAGAGACCAAAGAATGCAAGACAATATAACTCACATTTAACATGGGACAATTCAAAAGTATTGATTTCATGAAGCACTAGCAAATTCTCTCTCTCAAGAGAATGTCCAGTTCATTGATAGATTCTCCCTCGTGTGTAACTTCCACTGAGAAGCTACAATCAGAGCCAGGAAGGACCAGTTATTTCAAAGAGAGTCTGAAGGAGGGCTTTGAAGATAGATAGATAGATAGATAGATAGATAGATAGATAGATAGATAGATAGATAGATAGATATAAACTTTTTTAAAATGTAGACCAGATAATTTTTTATTATTAATTATGAAAGCTTAGGCTTGTTTCCTTCTAGCTCTTAGAACTTAAATTAACCTGTTTCTATTAATCTATATTCTGCCACGTGGCTTTTTACCTCCCCTCAGTGTCTCCCTGGTGAATCCTGTGCCTAGTTTCTAGCCCTGAGTTCCTCTCCCCCCACCCCAGGAAGTTCTCCCTATTCTCTCCTGTCTGTCTATAGGCCGTTTAGCTCCTTGTCAGATCGTCTTTTTGCTGTCATAATAAAATTAATTGGCAAGGAAGGTGAAAAAGTGGCGGCATAGGCAACAATTCCATTGTCTTCAATGGAGCACAGGCTGGGGAGGTGGAGGTGGGGAAGGTGACAGTTTTAGTCGAAATGACGGCTGTGTGGGTAGAGGCTCAGAAGAAGGGCAATCTACAAAGCACTTGGGGCACAGCATGTGGACTTGAGTTTGACACTCGCAAAGCCACATAGGAGCCTGGCATGGGAGTGGATGCCTGTGACCTCTGGGGAGGGAAGGCAGACGGCTCTCTGGGGCTTGCTGGCTAACCAGCCGAGCTATAATGGTGAGCTCAGGCCAGTGAGAGACCCAGTCTCAAAACACAAGGTACGCAGTGCCTCCTGATCAATGACACCCAGGGTTGACCTCTGGTCTCCACAGGCACACACACACACACACATGTGCACTCATACAAACATGCCTGCACATGTGCACACACGTGCACAAATCTATTGACATGCATATCACAAAGAGGTTCAAGTTAAAGGTATATTTTGCTTAGGTCTTATAGGCTACTGAGAAATCCTAGCTGTATCCATAAAACTTATCCATATCTACTCTATTAGGTTTGCTGTAAAGCGTGAGTTGGCAAACACGGTTTGCAAAGGTCAAACAGTGAGTATTTTAGTCTCTGCTAGCGTCTCATGCAAGGTCTCTGTTACATATCCTTTGCTTTCTCCCTGCCTTTTTCAGGCGTAACGATTCTTTGCTGAGGCTGTACACACAGACCACAGGTAGTCCACGGTTAGCTAGCCAGCCCGCGCTCTTCTGGAAGAATGTCTAGTTGTTATTACTGTCCTACAACCAAAGTCTCAGCTTCTACTACTGGGGTTATGGTACAAAAGCTCACTGGAGAGGAATGAGAGGTATAGCCCTCATCAGCACCATGGCAGCCAGCCTCTGAGATGAGGGTCCTGTCTCCAGGGATGCTCTGCTTTGCAGGATGCCCCTCACACGCAGTACCAGGGTCAGTCTGTGTAGCCAATAGGGTACAGCGAAAGTGACAACAGACAGCGCTTAATCCCACACAACGGCTTGCTCTCTTCTCGCTCACGTCATTGACAGTAAAGGAAGCGAGGTTGGCAGGCTGCAAAGATCCACAGATCATCTACAAAGGCTGGCCTAAGAAACTGATGTTTCCAGCCAGCAGCCAGCGAGTCCTGGCAGCAGCCACCTGAGTGAGCCTGAAAGCAGCTCCACCCCAGGTCACCCTCTAGATGACCACAGCCCTGGCTGACACCTGGACAGAAGGCGCTAAAACACCTGGAGCCAGGAAAACCTAGCCATGTTGTTCTCAGACTCCTAATTGCCAGAACTGTGAGATGCTAAAGGCTTGTTTTAAACTGTTAGGTTTGCGTTAACTTAGTAGACAGCTACAGACTACAGCTAGCCAGCGCAAACACCACCAAGCAGTCGGGACTCAACGGTACTTGCCTCCATGGGATAAATAAAAGTCTGTGCAGTTGCTCCAGCCATGGAACCAGATACGAACCGCTCAAAGGTTCCTAACTTTTGTCCTTCCTCGGTAAGCAACTTCTTGTACTGTAAAAAGGAAGTTTTAAGAGGAGCATTAATAGTGACTTTAGGGTAACTGCCCCTCCCAGATTCTTCTATTGAACCCTAACCTCCACTGTGATAGTGCTAGGAGACGGGGGCTTTGTGGACAATCTTGGTTAGAAGAGGTTCTAAGACCTCAGGATAGAATAGCATCCTTCTCAGAAGGGACACCTGACAGCTCACACGCTGCCAAACCAGGCACCAAGGCCATATGACTATGGAGCAAGAAGGCAGGAAGAGCAACTCCACTGCCTGGCCCTTGATCCGATAGTGCTTAAACTTGAGAACTGTGAGGAACACACTTCTGTTGTTAAACCACTCCTTAGATGGTATTTTACGGTGGTGAAGCACAAATCAGATCCTGGAAATCAATTCACTTACAGGGTGATGAGATGCCTCGAGAGACATCCTCTATGTTAACAATCCTAGCAGAAACGTGGGGTTTAAATTGCTAATTCTGTTTCCTGGGAAGTAGGGTTTCTTGCCTGGCACTATAGCTCAGTGACAGAGTTCTTACCTGGCACATGTAGCAGCCCTAAGTTTAAATTTCAGCATCATTAAAAAGCGGGAGGGGAGGGGGGGGGAGGGGGTGAGTCTGTCGGAGCAGCCAGGTTAAGTAAGAATCTGATGAATGGTACCAAGTGTGCTGTGTGTGGGCTTTCAGACACACTGAACTTCCTTGTATTGAAATAACAGCATTATTTTTGAATATGTATGTTAGGTACTGGCTTTCCTATCAAAAAATTAATCATAATTTGAATATTCAGGCATTTGAATTAGGAAAATCTCTTTCCCCAGAATGGGCTATACGTAAAGACCTGAGGTCAGCTGCTCTTTGCTTGCTCTATTTCAAAAGTTAAGGAATGGACACCACGAGCCCTGGCCATTTCAAAAGGGAAGAGAATTAAACTCATTCAAACAAGAAACCAGGGTGTGGCATTAAACTCTAAGACAGGCCCTGGTAGACAACACCAGAAGAAATGACAGAAGAAAAATCATTGTGCGGCCGTTTCAGGGGTCCTGCTGATAGCCGCTTCTGCTACCCTCCAAACTCACTGCTGTGCTTCAATCTGGTCCACAGAGAGGGAGGCAAAGGCCTTCGTTTACTGTCTCCCGCATCCACTCAACAAACACTCAACACTTCACCTGTGCTGGGCTCTGCCTGGGTGCTGGAGGGCAGGGAGAAGCCAGACCCCCTGCCTTCATGGAATTTTCAAGCCAAGTACAATTCCATTGACCCAAAGGGATTCATCTGAACAGTTTTCTTTCCGGGGGCACTTTTGTAAAACTTGGATTAAGTGCCCTGTGTCCACGAGCACTCAAGATGAGTCAGCTAAAGTCACGCTTTGAAGGGCTACTTAGAAAGAGGTACGGGAGAGGGGGAGGAGCCTCCCTCTAGAAATGGTATTATGGAATCCAAGATTCCAGAATTCAGCTCTGTGGAAGCAGTGAGTTTACTGAGTTCTAGTCTCCCATAAGGAATATTAGGAATAAATACCCAGAGCATTGCGTGCCGATCTTTACTGAATCAGATAGCTAACTTCTTTTGTTAATGATTTCCACAGGTAATAACAATTACCTGTTCATAAGCCCAGAACTTAACAGCTGTCTCGGGAGCGATTTTAATGACATTTGTGCCATTTCCTCTCCAAAGGGAACGGATTCCTCCTTCCTTTACCATCTGCCGAAAGCCTCCTAATATATTCATTGATTTGGAACCATGAACCTAGAAATAAAGGCAAAGCGTCATGGGGTAGTTCTGCACATTGTTGAAAGTAGGTCTGAGCTGAGCGCAAACACCGGGTACTGGATGCTACAGCCTCCAGAGAGCATCTCTGATGGGCTGCAGCGTTCTGCTCATCGTTGCCACGCATGAACACCAGGAAAGAAAGGCATTCGAGCTGCACAGGGCACAGACAGAAGCAGATCTACCCTGGGAACTTTCCTGGGCTCAGCCCTCTGCACTTCCTTCCCTTGGTTAATTTGAATCCATATTTATTCTCTGTAATAAACCACAACCATCTACTATCAAACCTGAAGGAGACTTTGGAGAGACCTTCAAATGTGTAGAAACCACAATCTTAACAAAGCCACTTTATTTTAAATAACAAACTTCATAATAACTTATGACAAAGGAAAACATGTGTGCCCATTCAAGCTTTCTCAATTTAAAAAAAAATCTATCTTTTTTATCCAAACAATTTTTTAAGATTTATTTACTTATTTATTTATGCAGTATCCTGCCTGTAGCCCAGAAGAGGGCACCAGATCTCATTATAGGTGGTTGTGAGCCACCACGTGGTTGCTGGGAATTGAACTCAGGACCCCTGGAAGAGCAGTCAGTGCTCTTAACCGCTGAGCCATCTCTCTAGCCCCTACCCAAACAATTTAAAAATAAGAAAGTGTTGGCTATGTATAGCCAATGATAACAACACAACTTTAAAAACATTTTTAAGGGACTGCAGAAGTGGCTCAGTACCTAAGAGCACAGAGCACAGACTGCTCTTGCAGAGGGCACAGGTTTGATTCCCAGTATCTCCATCACAGCTTACAACCATGAGTAACACCAGTTCCAGGGGATCTGGCACCTTCTTCTGGGATCTGTGGGCTCTGCATGCATGCGACACACATGCATAGATCCAGGCAGAACATCCATACACATAAAACAAAAACACATTTAAGCAGCTGCTATTCTACACATTTCCACATGCCGCTGTTTACATAAGTTAAACTGTAGAGCCGTCCTTGGTAGAGACTCTGACTCCCGTTATGGAATGGAGAAAACATGAGATCTCAGAAGTCAAATACAGGGTAAGAACCAAAGGCTCTGGAGGTAAAGCTACTTCCTGCCTTACATACTCTTCTTCATAAAGGAAACTTTTGTTCTTGCAACCCCAGCTACCTTACACGTACGTGGAGGTAAACCGGCTGCTTTCCCAAGCTCCGTGAATAAGGAATGGGTTGCCATGGTGTGCACAAATAGATATTCTTCCTTTTCTCTCCAACACCAGCGAGCAGCCAGGCCTGTCTAGAAACCCAGGGCTTTTCTGCTAACCTTAGCTCTAGAATCACTTCTGAAATTATATTCTCATCACCAGGATTCAGGACTCGAGGAATCCTCTTTCTCAAGTCTTAAAATCAAAGAAAATATAATTTGATGAGAACCCTATAATAGCGACGAGGTTTTGTTTTTGCTTTTTAGTTAAACATTTGAAGTCACAGAATACCAAAGACTAAGATTTCATTACACACAAGTACCAACAATTTATGATTTAATGGAACAGTACCAACTACTTAGACACGTGGCTAATATGAAGGTTAATGGTAGAAGAATATCATTTTTGAAGATATGAAGAACTGTGACTACACACAGTATGCTTTGGATACAGCCTGGCACGGGGCATGGCTCACCTGCATCATGACCTTGAGGCGATCCAAAGGTGCCGTGCTTGTTCTAGAGATCGCGCCAGCCACGCCTCCCGCCAGCAGCTGCCGCCACCACTGTCCTGACTTTTTCTCATCCTCTGTGAATTCATCCGGAATAGTTAAGCTGTCCCCTATGTCAATGCCCTGGTAAAAGTGGAAAGAGATCCCACAATTCTTCAGTCACAAACAGATAAGCCCAGAACTTTCTTTTTGTGTAGGAGCTATTACTGTATTGATCAAGGTTTTCCCTTGGGACTGACAGTGAACCAATCGGAGCATGCATGAGTGAGCGTCTAGTCACACGAAATGTCAGGCAGAATCAACACACAAGAACTGGGAACTGTCAGTTGCAAAGTCACGACTTTCTCTTTTATACAGATCAGGTGACTTTCATTGGACTGAATGACAATGGGAAGATCATGTTTTACCACAGTTGGTCCTTGTCAGTCACTTGTCACAGTGCTAGAAAACCGCACAGTTGGTGACAGCTTTGAAAAACTACTTAGCCCGTACTTCAGACACTATTTGTCTTAAGTCCCATTACACACTGTGCCGTGAAGTATATATAATTTAAACATGAAAATTTTACAATTAAACCTTGCACACAAATAGCTCTCCGCTCATCATCTGTATAGCCTGAGGACAGTTTTATCACTATGATACTTTTAACTTAATTATCGAACTGCTGCGGTGGGTGTAACTAGGTCATAGAGCACTTTCTTAGCATGCTCCAGGCTCCAGCATCACACACAAAACAACGACCTTGACATAAAACTTTACGGGCAAGAATGAAAGGTAATGAGCCGTACTTTGGGAGTAATGCTCTCTTCTTCGTTACCAATGAAATTTATTTATGATCATAGCGTCAAATATTACCAACTATCCCCAAAGACATAATACAAAGTTCACGCAGTGTAAAATTTATACTCATAACTGATTTTTACAGTGCTCTGTTTAAGCTTAGGTATTGTTAGTGTGACAATGCGGACCCTCGGTGTATTGAGTGAGAGTCAAAGCTACTTCTCTTCAAGTCCAGAAGACAAGTCCACAGGTTGAAGGGTAGGAGATCCTGTAGCAGGTCCCCACGGGCTTCGAGAAACAGACTGTACACCAATACATTTTATCAGATTGTGAATGAAATAATCGCAGGGGAATTTTGTGAAGTATGCACTGGCAGGAAATGCCAAGCATGTGAGTCAAAATGATTCTCCAGCATTCAGTGAGCAATGCAGTCCCTTAGGACAGCCATAAATCTAGGCAGCCTGGCTAAATAAGCAATTTTGGGAAGGACCCGAAGCCATGTCATCTTTAGCAATATGGAAGTACAGAGTTGGTTTGGTAATACATGTCTTCTGACTTTAAGACTTCCCTATGGCCGAAGCATTAAATGTCAATGAAGTAAGAGCAGCTAGTTCATTGAGATGGGCTTTCTTCCAAGTTTTCAGAAGAGCTGCATTTATGCCACCTTGGGGGCTTTAAAGATGCTCCATAAATCTGTGCCTAGTAGAATAAACAGATCTACAAGTTAAATATCTACAGGGACTTTCTTGGACTTGGCCACCCTGTCCAGGGTATTACAGTGTTTGGAGGCAGTAAACGTTGGGAACCAGAGCTCCATTAAGAATAAGTGGCTGCAAAGACTGTCAGCCTGAACAGAACTCCAGTGAGTAGGACCAACCCATCCCAGCTACCTTTATCCCCCTTAATATGCATTTTTCCCACCTCTGTGTGTGACCTAACATCCTTGTGTATTAGGCAAACCCTTTGGAAGGTTTGAACAGGCCTCCTAGATTCTACCAACTCAAGGCTTGAACAAGTCTCCTAGATTCTACCAACTCAAGGCTAAGGTCACACAGCCTCTGAGAACCATAGCAGAACTGTCCCCACTTTGCTATAAGCCATCTGTCTGATGTTTCCAACAAAGTGTTTGAAAAGCATCTTGATTTATGATTTTCTTTGCTGCGTTACGACAAAAACCTCATGAAACTATTTCCATGTTAGAGCACTGAATTTAGCGTAACCTGAGTCTATGTTCCCAGGCCAGGGTCCCTCATTTAGATACAAAATAAATTATCTCTTTGTCTCCTTTGAGGTGGAGCTGTGTTTCCCGCATGGACACGATACCTGTGCCTTAGAGCTGCAGAAACAGAAGGCAAACTTACAGTGGAGTGTTTCCAGAAGCGGATAATTTCTTCAATGTCTGTGACAGGGTTAAATAAGAAGTAATCTCTCCACTCATTCCAGTCCACTGTCATTGTCCCATCAGAGTCGATGCTGAAAGGTTAAACAGGTGGTTAAAGAACAAGACGTGGACACAGCTAACATGATTGCTCACTTTACATCATGAAATTTTGCTTCCCAGATTAACATTCTTAAAGAATTTTAAAAGCCTGTCAGCAGGTTCAAAGGGTTCAGCAACAGATCATTCAGTTAGTAGGCATGCAGCCCTGGAAAAAGAAAACCACACCACTCACAATGACTTATGCATTGTTGGACATAGAATCATGTAGATTATGATATTTCTGACCATTTTCACCACTTGGAGAAAAGCAGATCCAAACATCACAGAGAGCCCACTACAGACCACCCTTAGCACTCTGTCAGACTCAAGGCATCAGGCTACAAGATACAAAACTGGGTAATGAAATATTAAGGAGTATGAATGAATGAATTCGGGGGCCATTTTTTTTTCATCTCACAAGCTCAGGGACTTATTTCTTAATATCCTAAGATTGAAACACTTGGGTGCGATTTTTGAAATAGCTTCTAAATATGCTCTCAATTTTCTTCTCCAGTTTTCATCAGTATAAGAAAATTAGCAGTGATTCCAAGAAACCAAAATCTTATTCCTGATTATTTGAGTTTTCAGAAATCCTGATATCTTGCCAATTCTAAACTCAGCATTCTGTCATCTTACATGTGTAAGTGGTAATACTTGTGGTGTGTGTGTGTGTGTGTGTGTGTGTGTGTGTGTGTGTGTGTGTGTGTTTAAAGCTTCTGGACAGAAGACCCATTCTATGAGATTTTCCTACGAACAATACAAAATCATACTGGGCTTGATGGCGTTGTTGAACACAGAGAGTTACTAAAGTGGCAGGTGCAAGACACTGGGTTATACACTGAACTAACATGCCTGAAAAAATATTCTAGTGTTTCCTCAAGTTTTATGCTATAATTTATATGACAGTGACACATGTAGGCAGCATACAAATAAAATACCATTTTCTGATATTTATTATTATGTTTTCAGTACGAATTTTAGTCCCCATATGTCTCTGTGAGATTATACTTCAGCTTACTTGCCCCAGTGCAAAGGTATGCTCCATAGCCACTAAGAATCCTAGTCACCACTGTGTTTAAACTGCATTCTGGGTTGCAGTATAAGCTCTCATTTTATCGATATTTTCTGGTTTTGTGCAGTGATTTAGCGTTTAACTGCAACCCCTAACTTCCCTTTCACGAGCATGCGCTAGGCGGCAAGTGTCACCTTAGGAACATCCCACAACTTTTATTTTGTTTTGTTTTGTGTTTTGGGATAGTGTAGCCCTGGCTCTCCTGGAATGCACTCTGTAGACCAGGCTGGCCACAAACTCATAGAGATCCCCCTGCCTCTGCTTCCCAAGTGCTGGGATAAAAGGCGTGCACCACCTCTGCTGTCACCCCACTTTACTGAATCTCCACTCTGCCCCATGCTGCGGGAGAGCATGTGTCCATGGGCAGTGCTCTGTTACGCAGCACATAAGCTGAGTGTTCGTGCATTTGCATCTCTTGTAGACTTGGGCTTAGAATTTGCTTTATTCCTCATGCTGTCAAAGGAAATACAAGAAAAATGAGTTTGGGCCTTAAATGAGAGAAGATAAAATCTACACTTTGCCAAGAGTCTGTCGGTTTTCTTCACCTTTTTCAAGAATTAACTCTTTGTTTTCTTACGACACAAAAATTCCCCATAAACTATTGCATGGAAAAGGAGGATGATAACACATTTGAAAGATTATGCACCGATGAAGTGAGGAAGAGGCAGGCTGGAAAGATGACTCAGGAGTTAAAAGCACTGGCTGCTCTTGCAAAGGCTCTAAGTTCCACCCAGCACCTACGTGGCAGCTCACAACTGTATGTAACTGCAGTTCCAGGGGATCTGATGCCCTGTTCTCACCTTCATGGGCACTTCATGCACATGGAATACACACACACACACACACACACACACACACACACACACACACACATGCCAACAAAACATCCATTCATGTAAAATAATGTTTAAACAAAACTGTTCAACACACACAAGCAGATAAAGTAATATAGCACATAACAGAACTAGAACCAAGGACAGAAATCACGTGATCATCTCAATAGACACAGAAAAAAAAAAGTTTGACAAATTTTATATCTCTCTATGTTAAAAGTCCTGAAAAGGTCAGTGGCAGAAGGATCATATGTCAACACAATAAAAGCTACAAACCTATAGCAAGCTATATGTTGAATGGGGTAAAATGAAAGAATTGCCTCTAAAATTTGGAACAGTCTAAGGTATCCAATATTTCCACTCTTGTTTAATACAGTGTCTGAAGTCTAAGGACGAGTCATAAGACAAAAGAAAGAAATCAAAGAGATACAAATAAAAAGGGAACAGATCAACTTACCCTTGTTTTCAGATAATAAGATCCTATATTTAAAGACCTTAAAGATTCTAGCAGTTAACTCTTAGGTCTAGGGACACTTTTAATAGATTAGTGGGATACAAAACTGGCATGTAAAAGCCAGTAGCTTGTCTACAGACCAATAACAAGCATACTCAGAAGGAAAACCATCTTGTTCACAACAGCCGCAACTAAATAAACAGTAACTACTAGGAACAAGCCTAATCAAGAAAGTGAAAAATCTCCCTAACAAAAGTTTTATATATAAAATACTGGAAAAAGAAATAGACCACAGTAAAAGATGGAAAAAGCTTCCAAGCTTGGGGATTGATTGACAGAATTACCATTGCTCAAATGACCATAGTACTAAAAACAATCTACGGATTCAGTGTAATCCCTAGCAAAATTCTAATGACATTCCTCCCAGAACTCGGGAAAACAAGCTTAAAATTCATACAAAAGCACAGAAGACCCCAAATAGCTAAACCAATTCTGAGTAGAGTAATGATGGAGGTACCACCATAACCTGATTTTAAATTATACTACGAAGCCATAGCAACAACAGTAGCAGAGTACTAACTCAAACACAGACGCTTAAATCAAGGCGCTAGAGCAGAGTGCCCAGAAATAAGCCCACTCGACCACAGATACCTGATTCTTCCCAAAAGGCCACCTCCTCAACAAAATAAATAAATGAGAAAGAATTAAACACCCTCCATAAAAAAAAAAACCTCCACAAATATTCTAATCATTAAGTGGCCAAATGAGTTGTACAGTTCTCAAGAGATGCATAAATGGACGATAGACATATGAAAATTGTTAAACAGTCCCTAGTCATCGGGGAAATGAAAATTAAAAGTGCTGTGATGTCCCACCTTACCCCATGCCAAATGGCTCACGTCCAGAAAGCAGGAACAGTGGGTGCAGGAGGGAAAGGGAAACTTTACACTATTGATGAGAACGGAAATTAGTGCAGCCCCTGTGGAAATCAGCGCGGAGATTCCTCCAGAAACCGAAACTAGAACCAGCACGTGAGCCTCTACCATTCCACTTCTGGGAATGTACCCCCAAGGACTCTAAGCCAATACACCTCAGAGGTACATGTGTTTACTGCTGCTCTACTCACAGCTGCCAAGACATGGAATCAGCCTAGATGCCCATCAACAGATGAAGGGGCAGACACACACACAGACACACACATACACACACACACACACACACACACACACCCCAGAATCGACCACCATAAAAAAGAAATTATGTCGTTTGCAGGGAAGTGAATGGAACTGTAGACGGTCGTGATAAAAAATACGGCAGGCTCAGAAAAACAAATATTATAAGTTTTCTTTCATGTGGAATCAAAATCCATAAAGATGTAAGTAGAAGGGATGCTATTTGGGTGAAGTAGGCCAGTGGGAGGGAATCGGGCTTGAGGGTAGATGGGAGAGAGACACTGAGGCACACTGTAGGAAGACGCCAGAGCAAACCTGGTCACCTTAGAGAGTAACACGTGCTAATACTTTTTAAAAACAAGGAAGAAACCAAACTGCTTTAAAAAGTAATAGCCAGGGGCTGAGAAAGATAGATCCGTGGTTAAAAAACACCACGTGTTCTTCCAGAGGACCTGAGCTCAGGACCCAGCCCACACCAGGTGGCTCACAGCCCTCCATTATTGGATAGCATTGCTGGCTGGTCAGAGGTCGCAGCCTCAAGGTGGCCTAGCAGCTTATCTCAACAGCTCAGCAACAGGGAACCCCTCCCTCGGCAAAGCTTCCTGCTCTCTACCTGCCCATATCTGCGGAATGTCCCTGGGCCAGGAGGACTGATTTTATCTAAAAGCTGTCTCTAAACCAGAGCCTGATTCATCTTTAGCGTGATCTCTGGCACAGATCCCTGCTGAGACTTGTGCTAGGGGCTCTGCCATAGAGCCCTGCTGCCACATAGTAGGCCTTGTGAGAGGAGCGTGCCACTTAATGCAAAATAGGATTTGTCCCCAGGCACCCCACTTCCACACAGTCCTTATACTCTGGGATAAAATTGAGACGATTCACTGAAATCTGTCTCCCGGAGGGCTGTCTCCATTCATGCTCATGGGCTGACAAAGCTTTCTGTCCCCCATCTGCCTCTTTCCCCTCTTGGCCTGTTCCAGGGGACCTAACACCTTTCTGTACTCCACAGGCACAAGATGTGCAAGTGACACACACACACACACACACACACACACACACACACAAACATGCAGACAAAACACCAATTACACATAAAATAAAGTGAATGTTTAAAGTCACACCAAAACCCCTTAGCGCCTATCTCTAGACACAAGACTCCCTGCTGTCCCGGTGCCCCTGAAGCCTTGCAACAACCAGCTAGTCCAGTTGAAGCATCCCTTTGCCATCCCTGTACTGCAGATAGTGTGTTTACATAGGAACAAAATGGGAACGGAGGAGGAAAAGACAGGTTCGCTGAGATGCAGGAAGGCAGTCGAAAGGGCCCTTAGAGGCCAGCACGGAAGATGAGACGTTAAAGAAGTTTGTGAGTTTGACGGAGAGCTCACCTTTGAAGAATCAGCTCTGCTTGCTTTTCAGAAATATGCAAACCCAGCATCTGGAGAGACTGGACAATTTCGGAAGGCTCGATTTTCCCTTCAAACAATGAAAACAGTGTCAGGCCAGGCTCGGAATCTGAGAACACTCCTGAACGATGCTGGCGAAGCTAAGCATTCAGGCAAGCCAGCGTTCTTCTTAAATGCATCTTGTGGCGTCAGTACTCAAATTGTTCACAGGTACCTTAAAATGCACACATATTATTTGATTCATAAGCCTAGTGGATAAATACTGATGCTCCTCCAAGAGTGGGCCAAAAGCTCCCATGGCCTTGCTGGGTGATGAGAGTGAGAAGCATTAGGAAGGAGATCTAAATTCTGATCTTCTACAAGACAAACGCCATTAGACCAGGAACTGCTCATTTAAAAGTGCCCATATCTGCATTTTAATAAGGGGCATTTAATTAGCGTGGAGTCACATGTGATCAAGTGGAAGAGAGGAAGAAATAAGAAATTGAACGAAAGAGCACAGACTTCTGAGAAATCTCAGTGAAAATAGACAGCGAGGAGAGGAAAGCAATGGGAGAGAGAAAAAATAATACAAGGGGAGTCTGAAGACTGCAAATGGAGCAAATTAGGGAAAAGCGGAAGAGAGGAAACAGAACACACCATGAACACAAGCGCCCCTGCTTTCCCTTCAAGGGGCTCACAGTACTTGTGAGGCCTGACAGGGCTGGGACCATGCACGGTAAGAGGTTCGGCAACCACGCAGTGTGGGCGGCTCCTCAGGGAAAAGGGACGTACAAAAGGCAGGGGAAGGGAAGACATCCTCTGAGTGAGGGACCTAAGGAAGAGACAGGATGCTGAAGGGAACCACTCAAAGAGAGGAATCTGGACAATATTGGGGGGGAGCAGAGGGGACATCATTTCAGCAGTGAAGTGCTTCAGATCCCTCTCAGCATTCTCCTAGGCCACATAGTCTTCTTCTTCTTCTTCTTCTTCTTCTTCTTCTTCTTCTTCTTCTTCTTCTTCTTCTTCTTCTTCTTCTTCTTCTTCTTCTTCTTCTCCTCCTTCTTCTCCTCCTTCTTCTTCTCCTTCTTCTTCTTCTTCTCCTTCTTCTTCTCCTTCTTCTTCTCCTTTTTCTTCTCCTTCTTCCTCTCTCTCTCTCTCTCTCTCTCTCTCTCTCTCTCTCTTTCTCTCTCTTTCTCTTTTTTCTTCTTATTTTGAGTACCAATAAGTCTTTATTCTCCCAGGGAAGAAGGGAAGGGAAAGTCAGCACTGTTACAAAATGATTATACAATAGAAATATAAGTACTCAGATACATTAAAAGTCAACCATGAAATAAACACCACTTTGGTGGTGTGGCCACCAAGGTCCAAGAGGGCTCAGTCTCCTGCAGTTGAGGACAGAGTAGGGATCAGGGAAAGGACAGACAAGTACACACTTCCCCCACCCCCATAAATTCAAGACTTCTCACAAAGCTTTGGTTTCTAGCAGTAAACATGGAGTTACATCTGTACGTCTCCTAGTAACAATCTTGTGGCCACTTTGACAAGCTTCTTGTACCGGTATTAAGTTCCTGAGTGGCCTGACTTATACATTCATATTTCCTTTTCTGGCCTTCAGACGGAAGGCCCCACAATTGCTTCTCTCTACCTAAGGGTTATAGATTAAGTTGGTTAGATCCATCCAAAGGCAAATCACACCAAGAAATGGTCTCCCCAGGGGGAAATGGCTCACCTGCCATCCCTGCATTGAGGAGGCTAAAGCAGGAGGATGGGCAAGAATCTGAGGCTAACCTGGGCTGCACTCTTAAAGACTCAGTGGTCCACTGCACAGCGACTGTGTTCTGGAAAGTTACCGCAGACACCGAATTAGTAAGTGCGAAACCACTGATCCTGCAGGGGATTCGGGTGCAGGTTCCTGCGAGACTCTATCACAGTATTTTCATCCACTGACATAAGGTTGCCTCGTGTTTGTTCAGACATCTCATGGCTGTGCGCTGTTCATTCACTGACACTAAACCCTTGAAAAATGGTTCTAAGAAATCTACATTCTGCATGGCACGCACCATGGCACTCTTGGACTTGGAGATGCTAGCACCATGTATGGGAAGCATTTTATAAAGTAAAATTATCCACCAAACGATGTACAAAGATGCAAACAAAACATCCAAAACAGATCTTGGAAGAAACAGTTGCTTACAGTCTGAGAGTTAAAATAAAGAAGCCACCTTATGTTTCAAGAATCAAGAATATCACTTTATCATTATTATGTCTCAACTAAAAATATCTATGCTCAGTGATTCAAAGTTTTTACCCTTCTCTGCATGGCCATGAACAACTGGGGTACACATCTTTGGATTACTTCTAAGGCTAAATTTTAGCTAGTAGTAATATTCACCAGTACAAAGTCCACAAACAATGAGAAAATAAACTACGTTTATTTAAGTTAAGGGATTCTTATAAACAAAAAAATGAACCTATAATGGTAAATTGTTTGAAAACATATATGAAGTCATAGTGGAGGGGGAGCTGCCTACATTTATGAAGTATGTATTGTTAAAATTTTACCTCTATTTCCTATGGTTTGATTCTAGTTTTCTGGAGTGGACAATTTATATACTAGGTGGCTGATGTGGGATGTCCTTCTGTGTATGTGTTGCTTTAATTGGCTAAGGAATAAAGCTGCTTTGGCCTATGGTAGGACAGAATATAGCCAGGCTGGAAGGGATATATAGAGAGAGAGTAGGCGGAGTCAGAGAGACACCATTTAGCTGCCAAAGGAGAAAGGCGAAAGACACCAGGCTGGAAACTTACTGGTAAGTCACAGCCTCATGGCAATACATACATTAAAAGAAATGGGTTAATTTAATATATTTTATATATATATATGATATAAGATATATAATATAATATATATATGGAGAGAGAGAGAGCTAGAAATACACCAAAGCTATTGGCCAAGCTTAATATGGTTACTGTGTGATTATTCGACTCTGGGCAGCCAGGAAACAAACAAGCAGTCTCCGTCTACAGATGGCTGAGCACAAGTCACATAGTAGCTGGTCCTGAGATTGTAAACAAGACACAGACAACACTGTCTCTGCAACTGAACTGCAGAGGATCCAGGTCAGCATGGAAGTTTACAGGCAGGAAAGAGAGTTCATTTGAAAAACTGGATTTGCCCGAGGATTGACCTCGGGCTTGAGGGCAATATACATAATGCAAGGTTTACTGGTGGCTACAGCCCCCACCTCCAGCACACACTGAGCTCTTAGCTGTTGTGAGCCATCAACAAAACCATCTATCAGGTTTGGCTGTTTGAAGGAATTTGATTTTAAGTTAATGTTCAGTCTAAATCATTAGTTAGTACATTATAACTGTCAATCCATATAAGGTCTGTTGACTTTCTAAACGAAGTTTTATTTGAACACAACCATATAATTTGCCTACATATTGTCTCTGGCCGAGATACAGCCACAACTCAGACTACATAACCCACATAGTTAAAATATTTATAACCTAGATTTTTATTGAAAGGTTTTATACCAACCCTTGAAAAGAATGATACTTTTTTTCAATCTATTATTCAACTTCTTTCTTGAATAATAAGTCTGTGAATCGAACCATTCATTAGGTTGGGAAAGGTTTAGAGCTGCATTATAATCTTTCTGAATTCATCCTTCCTGTCAATGGTTGCCTCTGGACATGGGTCTGGTGTTTTTCCACTGCTGATTTTTCTTCCTTCTTACCTGGAACTCCATACCCAAACTACCACTTTAAGCAGAGGCAGTGCCGTCCTGGCCAGAAGGTACATACTAATGCTGGGCTATTCTCATTTTAGGATCAGAGACTATCTAAATTAATCTTTCAAAGAGATTATAAAATGTAAGATATGAATTTTTATTATTTTACAATACACAAGTCATGCCTGTATGTGGAAAAATAAATACCTCTTATTGGAAGAACAATAAATAATTATTATTTTAAACTACGACTTTAAGTGAAATGAGCGTGATCTCAATGGTGAATACTGTATGGAAACTTTTAACTCAACAGAAAAAAGCTACTATAAATTTTCTTCACGAAAAATACGGGCTCAAGGCTGGAGAGATGTCTCAGTGATTAAGAGCGTTCAGTGCTCTCACAGAGGACACAAGTTCAGTTCCCAGCATACATGCTGTCTGGCTCAGAACAACCTATAACTCCAGCTTCAGGGGGTCTGCAGGCACCTGTACTCACCTGTACCCTACACACACACACACACACACACACACACACACACACACACACACAACTAAAAGAAAATAAAATCTTTTTTAAAAAATGAATAAAAACATGAACTCTCGATCACATTAACGAAATAAACGCTAACACAAACAACAGTCATCTGGAAAGCTTCTGTCTTAGGCGTGGGAAGCGTAAAGGCGGCTTTGCATAAGAAGTGACAATGGGACACACCATCATTATTCTTGTCCAAACTTTTAAATGCTAACTTCATTTTCTTCTCATGGTCTTTCAGGTATTTCATAAATTCTTCAAAATCCAGCTTTCCATCTTTGTTGATGTCACCAGTAACAAAAATTTTCTACAGAAAAAGAGAGAGAGAGAGAGAGAGAGAGATCTTATCGTTAGCATGGGCTAAAGTAATGAGCTACCTGTGTGTAGGCTTCCAGTTTGGGCCAACTGTGTTAGTATCCGTGATGGCGTAGCTCCACAACCTTCCCTGTGGTTAGGACTCCCAGAGTTTCACAAGCAGCAGATGGTGCCAATTTAATAATTACACAAGGACTAAGACTTCTCCTTTGAATAGCCTTATAATTCCCTCTGTGGAAATAAAAGCAGACCCCGGGGCCATTTCTTCTGAGCTTGCTTCATCTGTGTTTTATATGGATCCAAAGACAGGGCCTCCCCTACAGGAAGCTCTGTAACGAAAAAGGAAAGATTTGGCATGTCGAAGAGGTGGGTACAGGCTGGCTAGCCAGCAGCAGGATCCAGTGTGGTTCTATGGGGAGGCATAGATGTCCTTAATGAATCCCAAATTGAAAATGGGAACCAAAATTAAGAGAACTGTCCCTTTAATTAATCAAGTCCTGGCCATTGGGGGAGGGGGAGGGACTTTTATTGATGCTATTGTGCAGCATCATGGACTATCACTAGAGACAGAGACGTCACATGTCTTCCTCCAAGCCTGACAGTTGTAAGGACAAGGTTTCCTGGCTGTAGGTGCTGAATCAATGTCTGTTTTTATTTATGACCCTGCCATGATCTATTTGCATATTCAGTCTCTCCTACTTATATAATGACAAAAAAAATTATCACTTTGGATTTATTGTTTTTATAATAAAAAAGTATCTTCTGCACCTCACACTATACAATGTAAATTTCTATCTTAAAAAGATAATTCTCAGTCCAAATGAATGAAATTTCTTCTGCAGACATATGAGAACCCACACATTAGAACTTCTTAGATGTGGCCTTTTTCTGAGGAGAAACCCAAGAATTCTTTTAAAATAATGTTCCATGTGGCTGGTCCAGAGCCCTGGGAATGGCTCTCCCTTGGCTTTGATAAATGAATGTGCATCCATAATCAACGGACATGCTAAGCCTCACACCTTTTGCCAAAAAAGATTTGCAGGAAAATAAAATGTTGAAAAGGAATAAGTGGGTTCCAAAGAACTTAAGTTGTTTAGGATGAAATCCTGGATTCCTTCTAAAAGGTTAATTGGTATTGAATAAACAAACACACATCACATTTTGGAAGAAGAGGGACCAGTGTCCCAACATTCACCTCCATGTGGGAGATTTCCAACTCTTGAAGTTGCCACCTTTAAGACACACCTCTTGGAAGTTCCAGTGCCAGCCCCCAATAGAATCACTGGCTGAGTGCCAAGTCATTAAAAGGAACACCTTTGAGAAACATTTATCCCAGTCACAGCAAACGACAAAGAAACCACAGTGTAGTGCTTGGCATATGGAATCAACTTTAAAGACAGCTGGCCAACACACGGAAGCTTAAAAGAAAGGCTCCAACAGTCTGCACACAGCTATTAGGATGAGGGCGATTCTTACTTAGGAACAGAAACAAAACAAAATTGCTCCCAACCGCCACTGAGCTCCCAAACACATGTGGAGTGAATGTTCCAGTCCTCTAAATCATGGTACATCTTGGTCCCTTCTGCTGTGGTGGTTTGAAGAAGGATGGCCTCCATGTGCTCATATATTTGGATGCTTGGTCCACACTGTTTGGGAAGGACTAGGAGGTGTGACCTTGTTGGAGGTTCATCCCTGAGGGTGGGCTTTGAGGTTTTAGGAGCTTATGCAATTCCCAGGTAGTTCTTTCTCCTGCCTCCAACCTTTGGATAAGATATAAACTCTCAGCTACTTCTCCAGTTCCTGGCTAACTGCCAGCTGCCACGCTCCCCACCACAGGGGCCATAGTTTCACCCTCTGGAACTGTAAGCAAGTCCCCACGACTCACAGTGTCTCTTCACAGCAGTAGAAAAGTAACTAAGGTGTGCCAAAGCTACTCACCCAGGCCTCTGTGGACAGGGAAGAACACTGAACAAGTAGTCCCCATAAAACAGAACTGTAGCCAATAGCAAAAGCAATCAGAAGTTGGAAATTTTATTATAGCCACAAGGAAAACTGAGAAGTACTCTTGAGGATATTAGCTGCGAGGATGACCTCGAGTTTTTTTCTAATCATCCTGCCTCCCCATCCTCCATGTTGGGATGGAGGCCTGCACCACCACAATGGCGTATATGGTACTGGTGATCGAATCAAGCGCTCTACCTGCCGCCTACATCCCTAGCCCCTGGAGGATTCTTAATAAACAGAAGCAATGCTAGTCCAGCGTCACCTCAAAGGACCAGGTCAAGTTTGAGAACGTCTAAACTATGACTCCATTCTGCTCCAGGAGCCCTCTCCAGAGGTCCTGACCCCATATCAATCTGAGCTTCATGAAGCCCACCTCGTCATCCTCCAGAGAATGAGAGATCCCTAAATCCTGCAGGCCTTCCTGAAATTCAAAGAAGTCCACAGCTCCATCTTCATCGTGGTCCAGATACCAAAACAGATCTTCGTAGAGGGAATCCATGTGCAGTGTCTCCTGCGGCCAGGGTGACCCCTGCTATAGCCTTCTGAGTCCCCCAGGGGCCGAAGTCCCTGGGATAGGACCAAGAGTATGTCTGCCCACAGTGAGAAAGAAGGACGAAGGCAAAGCATCTGCAGGGGTTACCGCATCAGAAGGAGAAAGCCTCATCCTAACCGTCCCGGGATTGCCGGGCACGTGCAGGGCAAGAACCAGTGGGCTACTCCGGAGAGGGGTTCCGGCCCCAAGTCCGCGGGCGGGAGATCCTGCCTCCACTCTAGGTTCTACAGGAGCCAAGACAGAACCAGCCACGCCCCGTCACCACTTTCAGAGACCCCAGCACAAGACCATCTAAAAGGGAGTTTGTATTTTGTCTTACTTTGCTTGGTCTGTTTTGAAAAAAAAAAACGCGAGAATAGAGAGGAACTGGGTTATTGCTCTGTGATCTGCGGACAGTCGCAGAGGTCACCCGACCACTTTTGGAAAACTGTGTGTGGTTTGTGACTTGTTACTGTTTTCTGGGGTGCTGGGGAAGGAATGTGTTAGAACATGCAAGTGCTAGAAAATCGCGAACTGCTCCACCACCGAGCTTCAGGTAGGGCATATATTTTTAGTCAATAAGCAGGTTTCCCTAAGAAGAGGATTCTTTTTAGGGGTGAAGTGCACCAGGCTGACGGTCATAAAGACCGTCAGGAGCCAGCATGGGACCGACCTAGGTGAGAGTTGTATAGCTTGGTCTTTTGTGGGGACTGTAGCAGTGAGACCAGAATCTGTCTGTGATGCATGAGCCGGCTCTTTGGAACTTATTCCCTGTGGTGGGGATGCCTTGTTTTCAGCCTTGATAAAGGGCGGGGGGGGGGGGGGGGGGGGTGGTCCTGCCTCAACCTGATATGTCTTGCTTTATTGACTGTCATCGTGTCATCGGAGGCCTCACCCCATCTGAATGGAGAGGAATGAAGAATGGGAGGGAACAAGAGGAGAGGAGGGAGGGGAAACTGGTTGGTGTGTAAAATAATTTTTTTAAATGATGAATTTTAAAAAAAAAGACTGAAATTAAAGAGAAATTAGACCGTGTGAACCTTTTCTTCTGTGTTCCCCCCTCCATCTCCACCTCCCATCCCTGATTTTTTTATCTTTTCTTTTCACCCAATATCTATAGTGACTCTGGGGGCAAAATATCCATCTGGGCACCAGTTGAGACCCAGAGGATAATCCACAAATGGCCAGGGGTTAAGGCAGTTGGACTCCCACGAGAAGGCAGGAGAGACCGCTATTGCTCTCTGTGGCTTATTAATGCTCATCCTCTAGGGCCGTGGGAAGCCCTGAACCCCCGATTCACATATCTGCGGCCCCTCATCCCGTCCAGGAAAAGTGTGGAACTGCAGATCCACAGAAAAGCTCCCTGCTTTTGCACTGTTTGTTTTTCAAACTGAATAATTTTTCAGATGAATTTACAAATGTGCAGTGAGATGGCACCTGACGCTTGAGCACCAGAGAGAAGGCTCCTCAATGCCAGGCCAGCCTGAGAAAAAGTGTAATGAGACCTTCGCTCAAAAACAAATGTTTTAATGAGATATTAAAATTCACAAAGAAAATTTAATTCTGCCATCCTCCATTAGCTTTGGCTCTATACTTCTCATCATACTGAGTGCTGGGAGCAAGACAAAGAGCATCACAAAGCCTAGACAGACTCCCTCAAGGGGTAGATTTCACCACAGTTAAACAGGTACTGCTGTAAGCTCTGCAATAGATATTTCCCAAGAGCTGCTGAGCAGGGGCTAACACGGAAGGCTGTTTCACAAAACCTGTGGCCCAATTGTGAATGAATTGTCTCACAAGAGAGGATTTGAACTTTTAGATGTATTTATTTTATGTGGATGAGTGTTTTGCCTGTTTGTGCATTTATGTGCCTTTCATGCGTGCTGGTGCTGGAGTAGGTCAAGAACGGGCACCCAGTCCCGGGGAACCAGAGTTCGAGTCCCCTGGAACTGGTGTTCCAGATGGCTGTGAGTCATGGTGGTCTGAGGAACAGGAGACAATGTGTTGTCCTATTCATTTCCCACAGGTTTCTAATCTTTCCACATTAAACGTCATTGTCTTCTCCTCTGCCCTCACCCATCTCTCCTTCTGCACCCTCTTTCTAGCTTTTGTTTTGTCTTTAAGTCAAAAATTATACTAGAACATTTTAAAAGATAGTACCAAAATGTGGGTATCCTCTGAAATACTCTGATGAAAATAAGACAGTTAGGACACTGGAGATGGAGGAAATAATCTGAAATTTAATGTCTTGACGTGGAAGTCATGAGTGACATAGCACAATGCTGAAGAAGAGTCAGGCGATCTATGTGGAAGTCTGTTTATATAGTTAGGCTTAGAAGACATTGAAACAGTAGAGCATCCTCTACTCTGAAATGTAAAATAATAAAACAATAAAAGGAAGTATACCCAGGATGAATTTACATTGGGAAGGGTCTTTATTTGACCAACAAAATTTC